GAGCTTAAGTTTAACTTTAGTGGCCCATTAGCTTCTCTTTACTATACGTTTTTTACAATAACTCAATTATGGTTAGCTTAGTAGTTAGGTCACATAGAAGTTGTGGACATGGGCTATTAGTGCATAGGCAACAATTTGTAGTACGTAGGTTAGTAAGTTAATTGGGACTTGGGAGTCTGTCTCTTGGATGTTGCTGATTTGGGTAGGTTTACTAGAACGGTTTGGCGGCTGTTAGGTTTAAACATTAGGTTTTTCTAATTATATAAGATGTATGTTCCGCGTTAGTTTGAAATTAATCAATCAAATAATAAACAAAAGTTTTTTCGATGGAATTAATAAATCAAATAATAAACAAAAGGTTTTTTGACGTCTACATCGTCTCTTACTTGTCAGTTACAGGCAAAATCATTGAACTTGTGGGTGCGAGTTCATAAAAAGAAAGATCGTTAAACTCATTTGGCAAGCCGAGGTCGAGATTAAACTTTCATTAATTTGTTTTGTTCAGCAATACCCAACATATGACTCAATGACGTCGCTTGCTGCTCATCGTTCACAGAGATTCGCTCCACTGTTCGACCCACCTTAGTGAAATTCCTAGCTACGCCCCTGCCTCAATTAGTTGTCGTCGTCGAGGCTCCGCCAGTTTGCCGCCTTTCCATTCGCCTTTGCTCTCACCATTACCCGAGAGAGAGAGAGAGAGAGAGAGAGAGAGAGAGAGAGAGAGAGATGCAACATTTGTTCGCGGAGAGGAGGAGGCTGGTCATTTCCTTTCGGGAGAGAGAAGAGCCGAGAAGAGACGGAGAGGGAGAGACCAAAATCGGTTCTTCTTCCTTTTCTTTCACTTGCAATTTCTAGATAGAAGGCTGGAGAAAGAGGGAGGTGAGGAATGGCGACGGTTTACAGAGAATGAAGTTTTTGTTTTCTGTGAACAAAGCAGAATCGAGAGGAAGAGGAGAGAAGGATCGAGAGAGAGAGGCGAATTAGGTCGTCTTTTTTCTTTTGGCAGAAAAAAAAAACGAGAGAGGTTAGGGAGGAGGCGGCCAATTTTGGATTAGCGGCTAGGGTTTCGTCTTTGAGACGATTATAAAGCCCGAGGCCGAAATGACTAGATTGCCCTTAGGGTTTCCTTAAAATTATGACTCCTTGCCACTGTGTTTTAGGCCATTTACCAAAATACCCCTGTCTACTCTATTTTATAAAAACGGTCAAACGGAGACCATAAAACGTGTCACAACAAAATAAGAAATATGAGTAAAAAACCCTGTTCACTTGTTGTTCTGTTTTCATTTGAAAAATCTATTAGCCAACGAACTGTGATAGCTCTGCAAAACAACAAAATGTAGGGGTCGTTTGGAAGTTGCGATTGTTAAATAGATGTATTGTTGAGAATGCATGTATAATATTATACATGTATCTTCGAATTTGATGCATTGTAGAATACAACGTTTGGTATGTGTGATTGTGTATGTCGCATCAGCTAAAAGCTGAGACAAAATAATCTCAACTCAACTATCTCAACAATCACAACTAAAAGTTGAGATATAACAATCACTCAAAATGAGTGATAGTTTCTGTCACATCACAGAAACAATCCATGTATTGTTTCTGCTAAAAAAAACAAAAAAACGATGCATTGTAAACAATACATGCATAATGACAATCTCAACAAAACTATCGCAACTTCCAAACGACCCCGTAGTTTCCTGGAAATTTGGTTGCGCGTTTCTCCCCCATTCCCAGCGGAAAATTGCTACTGTAGTTAAATGAGGTTCTGGGTTTGAATCACATCACCCAATTTTTTTTTCCTTTACTTCCTTCTCGACCATCATCTTCGAACTTTCTTCCCTCTTAAGTCCACACCGGATAAAGTCATAAAACCTGAACCAGTTTCTGCCACAGTTTCCGGTTGCCGATTCGCTTGGTCCCCTTCAATTCCACGTCAAGAAACTATTGAACCTGTCTCCGGGACCAAATCCTTGGCCAGCCTTAATCTCGATCTGCCGCGGAATCCTTCTCTTCCAAGCAGCGCCGCTCATATCCTCTATGTTCTCGTCGGCGTCGTCACCACCGGTTAGTCCTGGCGGTTCCCTTTTCTGCAGTTCCATGCTCAATTAATCTATGAATCGCACTAGAGTAGATGTTAGTGTGCTTTTTTGGATTATGATTGGAACGAATCAATTATGGAATTGAGCTTTTTTTAGACATGCGGAGTTCGTCCTTGGTGGCAACTGGATAGCTAGAGTTGATAGAGAAGGTGGTGGAGGAGTTCGCCTCCCATAAGTACCAGCAGCCAACCTAGTGTTAAAGTCAGCTGGAGAATGGAGATTGTCTCATCTTAAACATAATCTCGAAGTACATTAGTCAAGTTTAATCAATGACCTGTCTAATTCTTGTTGAACATAAGGGCCTAATGGAATTGGAAATAGAATAGGCATGTGAAGTATGTCTAAGAAGTTTATTTTGTTTGGAAACTTGCAATGTTTCAAGTAGCTCTGTTGTTTCAGTTTACGATCTTATTAAGAAACTAGATCATGAGGCAAATGTCATGATAATAGCCTTGAATGTGGGTGCATCCATCACAGCTATATGTATTAGCTGCACCCGATTCCTTAATCATTCACCTCTCAGCTGTTTCTAACGGTTCTATGACTAGAGTTGTATGATACTCCTCAACAAAATAGTGGTAATCAAATACCAAAAAACAGTATGAAGCAACTAAACAGGTTTTTATTTTCAGAATTCAGTTTCAGAACTTACCAAAATTCTCAACTAAAGAAGTTTTCTTCAGGTTTTGTTTATCAGAAAACGACAACTTCATTTTCATTATAATTTGTTTTCTGTTACGGCAACAACAGAAAATGGAATGGCAAGTGAACGGCCCATTAGCCGAGTTTCAAACTCGGATCACAGTGCACACCAGCGCTTAGAGTTCAGCGTTTTAACCAGTTGGGCTGTCAGCCCATCATGCGTAAATTTAATCATTCCGGGTCATTTTATTGTTTAATATCCTTAATATGAAATTTTGAATGCGAATTATGTTGATCCTGTTTCTTTTCTGATACATCAATATCTTCTTAATAACTGAAATCATGTTATCTTTTCATAACTTCATAATAATTAATTTAAATTTTATTAACAAAATCTTTAATATAGAAACCACCATCAGTGGAACGTGGTAAAAGTTATATTTAAAGTCATCAAAACATTAACGAACTATGTGGACTTTGATCCCGTATTACGGGTACGTAGGCAACTGAAAAGGCTCGAGTCCAACTAATCAACTAAATTTATTTTTAAATTTTACGTCACTGGGCGTATAATTAAATCTTAAACTAATACGATAAAATCATTAATGGTCCAGAGTGACCCTAAAAGTACAAAATTATTAATACACCCAACTTATATAAACTTATCAACTTAGGTGGTACCGAGTTAGGCCGTTGTGGGGGTGTGCTTAACTTCCCCACACGTAACCGTACTTCCGAACCCATATATCTCTTAATTGCAGACCAACCCCCGGTTCTGACTCCAAGGTTAGAATCGGCCGATGAGTGTTCGATCCACTCCAAGTAAGATCGATGCCGACTCCCAAAAAGCGAACGCGACCCCCAAACCCCGTAGGGACGGTTGCGACACAACTAAAGAGTCTCGCCGCCTAATTTACACCTTCTTACGTTCATTCACGTCATTTTATGATTATTCGCATAATTTGATGCTTATTCATGTAAAAGTGTTATGATTATTCACAATTATGGAATTCCAAAACCTTATTTTTTTTCTTTTCCCTAATCATTTATATTCCCATATTTTATGAAATTAAATTTAAACTTTCATTGAGATTTAATGAGAGTTATAAACTACGACTATGACTACTTGCAGAAAAAGAATAAAAACTTGGTGTAGGCCGTTGTTTGATTTTGAAAACTTTGTCTCTGTCGACGTCTTCTCGTATTTATAGACATGTCGTAGTAACCACGTTGAAGAACTGTCTGCTTGATAACTCTACAATAAAAACCCTCCTCCTTCTCTGGAGTGGTCGTTGCTCTTTCTACTTCCTAAGTGCCTCTCTTGGAACTATAGTGGGTATTGGAGTGTAACTTACCTCGCTTAGTTTTGTTCCAAACCTCGTGTCATGCTAGCCTTGTGATGAGTTTGTGGTGTCTCGTAAAGGAGGTCGTATTTCTCTTGCCTCGCGGTCATTGACTTCTTATTCATGCCCATAGCCCTCTTGTCTTGTCTTGTGGCCATGGACTTGTTACTAGCGCTCATGGCCCCTTTCGCAATCTCGTGGCATGGCCTCTTGCTTCACAACCATAGACGCATCAATTATGGCCATAGACCTCTGTCTCACGGGCATGGCCTTCTCAACAAGGGCATGACCCTCTCACTCACACCCATTTCCCCTCTCGTGACACAACCATGGACTTTCCACGATCATTGAGTCTATTTGCTTCCATGAACCTCTGTGTCGCAGCCATGGCTTCTCCCAAGCACATGATATTGAGTCTCATGACCCTCTTCTCTAACGACCACATGGTATTTTTTTTTTTTTTTTTGACAACCACACCTTGCTCACATTCATGTGGTCACGAGGCATGATCTCATGGCATGCCCTTCTCCCGACTTAGTCTATTTTATGCATGCGGCTGTATTCTTTTTGACTCATGTCCATGCTTGTGAATGACTTAGAGACTTGGACTTCAAAGTCAAGATCAAGGAAATTCAATTTGAACAACATTAATTGTTATAATTAATCTGTCCTTCAAAAACATTAACTAACTTATAAATTATCAATGTAATACAAAGTTATTTTTAGGTAATACAAGATGATGCCACCAAAAATTGAAACTATCGATAGGAGCGGATGAGAGAATATCTTCCAACCCTACTATGACCCGTAATTGGGCCGCCAAAGGTACAGAAAACAGAGGTGCTTAATGATCTTCAGCCCTTGACAATTTCAGGTATAACCGTATAAAGACTAGTTTAATCGATTGGAGCTAGAAGCCTAAAACAAAACCATCCCAAAGTCAAACTCAATAAGGGAATCCACTCAACAGTAGCTCTTGTCGCAATTTTTATATCGTCTAGGCGAACCGGAGAACATAGCAACGCTGGTCGTCGCAGCAAAAACTGATGGCGGGCATCTTCAACTGTTCAACGTTGGAGCTAACTAGAGACACTGAAACGGTGAAACCTCAGCACTTACTACAATACTCTTTTTCATTGGGTAAATCACCAACATAGGAACACCAGTTCTCATATGTCTCCTTCGGAATCTCCCAAACATACGAATCCAAAACAATGGCCTGTAGTTGCAGAGGCCAGACGACAGGGCTCCATATAAAAGCTAGCCATCGTACCAGTGTAACTTAATAGGAAGAGAAAGAACCCAGTTGAGAGGGAAAAGATTATACACCAATCTTACAAAACCAAAAAATGGCTTCACAACGCCAATGGACGGTGGTACTGGTTCTGAGACTCAGCACTCTGTTCATCCTGGCAGCCTCTGTTCTTGTTCTGGTCTTCAACACCGTTAAAGTCAGCCTCGATTTCCGGAACTTCACCCTCGACGAGTTCAATCCCACCAAGATCACTTTCAAAGACCTCATCACTCTCAAGTAGAGAACATTTACGGTTTCCCCACATGGTCATTTTTCTTGCAGACCATATTAATGTACCATAATTTTTTCTACAATGCAGGTACTTGCTTGCTGTTGCTATTATCGGAGCGCTCTACACAGTTTGCCAGCTCCCTTTCGCAATCTACCACGTTGCCACAGGAAAGAGGCTGTCCCGAAATGACTGCATGCCGGAGTTCGATTTTTACGGCGACGAGCTCGTGAGCTATCTTCTGGCCACTGGAATTGGAGCCGGGTTTCTGGTCTGCGCGGATCTGAAGGTGAACCTGGATAAGATGATGAAGGCGCTTGAAGATGCACACGAAGCAGGGCTGCGTGATTCCAGGGAGAGCTACGACAATTTCCTAAACATGGGGACCTTAGCCACCGCGTTGCTTTTCTTGGCTTTCGTTTGCATGGCGGTCCTCTCTGTGCTCTCTTCAATCAACCGCAACCACGATAAAACCAGGTCCATCTTCGGCTGAGCATCAACTACCCAGTCAACGACATTCTGCTTGGCTCTAAACTTTCAATTTCAATGCATTCCTTGTAATGGAAGATCTGAATCTTGATGAATAGATGTTCTTTATTTCCTTATTTCTTTTTTTGGAAAGCTCCATTGTATTGTCTGGAGTAATGGAATAAATAAAACGACTTTATTAAGGACAAGCATGACTACTGAGCACACATTACAGACAACAAAATAGCAGCTTACAACATGTATACTTCTACACGACAATGTACAATGGTAAGACTACACAGAAACAGTTTGCCGAAGCTCGAACATGGCTCCAATCCCTTTTCAGGCATTTCGGATCAACGCAAAGCTGATCCTGGGTTCAAGCTACAACAAAATGTACTTTAGAGGGAGGCAAGTAGTAGTTTACCATGGGCAGAGGAAGAAGACATGAGTGCTAGGGTTTTTGAAAGTGAGGATATGGAATCTAAAGCCACTTTCAACATCTCCTGTGGGCAACCTGGTCTCACCATCTCTTCTACCTGAGAGACCAACCATCCATTACAAAACTTCAGGTCCAGTACACTGTACACCTCGTGAATGGATTTATGATTACCGTACAACAGCACGAGGGATGGAATGAGAAAGAAGTGTACCATGTCAAGGTATTCGTGCAGTTCTTCAATTTGCCTGATTTGGTCACAGTCTTCAGTCGATGGACTGCCAGCAATCTGATATCTCCACAACCGACAGAAGAAGTTATTATCGCAGAGAGCATAAATTGAACCTGTCTCGGCAGCTGCTTCAGCTTCCTGGGCAAACGACAATCACAAATGGTGAAGCTTACTACACCTACATAAGATCAAAGATTCACTATAAGAATGAAGACCAGCAGCATGGATGAAATGCAAAGATTCTAAAGAAACAATGGTCTGCTAACATCGGCATCAGATCTTTCCTTTCTAGTCTGTTTCAATCCTTAGTAGTTTCTTGGGCAAATGGCAAACCGGAGGATTTACCAGTAACTAGATTCTTGGACATTGTGTTCATTTGTTCAGCCCGTTACCGGAGATAGGAGATACAAAAGTACGGCCAATTGCTAGGAACAGATAAACGGTTGATTCCACAGAAGGTTGTTTTTATCTTCCCTAACCCTGGTCACCAAATTCTGGAATTTCACTTATAACAAATCAAAAGTGCATTTGCTGCCAACCACCATTCTCTACAGCGCATCTCCGTCCAAAGTTCAATCGAACATAAGCCAAACGATGGCGACAAGATTCAAACTTCGATTCAACCCCTAACCACTTTCTTTACTTCCTTACTAATGAGAACTGTATTGAACTCAACACTAAGGGAGATTCCAGAAGCCAAAAGAAAAAGGGAGCCGAAAAGGGTTTAACGGTGGAGAGGGGAAGTACCTGAGATACACCAGTGGGAGCTTCCAACTCTAGCAATTGATTCTGGAGCTGCAGAGACATATTGGTGGCGGCCGAAAGCGGAAAACAATTGGCGGGGACGGAGGGAGGGATCAATTCGTTCGCCGCCGGGGAGGCTACGAAAGGAAAAAAAGAGGAACCCGAATCTAATCAGAATCTTCCCCTCTTTGTTTCAATTTTTTTTTTTTTTTCTTTTGTAGAAGAAAGCACTTCTATCTACCTTTGGATTGGAAGCTATGTGGATGCACAGAACACGAGCCAGCCGTTGGATGTATGAAGGGCCATTACTATGGGCCGCGTCTTCCTTTTTATTTACTCAAGAGACTATGGGCCTGATCTTGTTAAGCCAATACTTTAGTTTCATGTTGGGCCAGAGTATTGCTAGGAAAACTTGGTTTTGTGTTTTAGACTGATCTTTAGTCTTGGAACTTTACAATAATTGTAATAGACACACCTTCAATAATTGTAATAGACACACCTTATTACATTACAAAAAAAATTATTGTCATAATGTTATTAAAATATGTAAATATAGGAGTTATCAGACTTCAGATTAGGTAGTTAATTAGTTGGTTGCACAAGAGTAAACAATTAATTGACTACTTAGTACATAATGAGTATTTAGAAAGATAGCTATCACCTTAGAGACAACATAGATAATTTGAATGAGAATTAAATTTGATTAATAAGCTGGTTGAGTCAAATAATTAGATAGTGAATTCCAGGTTGTCTTTCTCCATAGCTTCTTCCATAGATTTTTCTTTAAGTTAATTTTCAATTTGCTTTCTAGTTTAGTTATTTCTTTCCACGTTGACGCCTGTAACCACCGATCAATTATCGGCATCGCGCCAACGACATCCTCATGCTCATTCAAATTTCCACGTTACACATGTGGTCACCCTTCGAGCTTCTCATACCAAATTTCTCATCTTAAATTAGTATTGACTTTACCTCTTGCAACTACAAGCTACAAAATGACATTTTCCGTATATGAGTTTAATCAAGAACAATCTTTGGTATAAGTTGAGTGACCAGTTTATGAATAATTGTTTCATATTGTACATAAAAAAAATATATATATATATGATTTACAACATAATGGACAAATACAATTAGGAAATCTTTAAGAATATGAAAAATCATCGTGGTTCACTGTAAGAACTAATGAAATTAGTGAAATTTATGAATAAATTTTTTTTTGTTTATTTTAAATTAATTAACTTATTAATGTTTATTTATTTATTTTTCATTCTATTTTATTGGTCGACACACCTATCCCAAAATCCTGGGTCCGCCACTGCATTCTTGTAATACACTATTTCCGAAATCAAAGTTTTAAACAACCCGTTGGATGTTTTGAACTTATAGCGTCTTACTTACGAGAGAAAGTGGACCAACTATTCTTCTGAACATATATAGTTTGTGGTAGGCTCACTACAAAAACGAGTTTTACCAAATTTGTGGGTTTAGTCTTTACTTTTGGGTCATTACTTCCTCTTTAGTCTTTACTAAACGTTTTGGTAAAACACAACTTGGAGTTTATTACGCAGACTTTTCATGTCAAAGCTCCCATTTCCAATCTTCTTCAAAATGTTGCTCCATAAAAACCCAAGACGTACAGATGAAGCGTTTCATGTCAAAGCTCCCATTTCTCAACTTGCTAGCAGCCCATTCACATAATATTGGCTCACGGTTGTGAGACAAAATGGAGGATAAAAATAAGCACTATAGTTGATATTTGATATGGTATGATAGGAATACAACTAGTTTATGTCAGTTTTGACAAAATATACGTAAGACGTGGGAAACTATATATTAACACCAAATAAATTATGTGTTTATATAACATATGCTAAAACAATCAAATTAATTATAATCTCCTTTCATATTTAAATACAATACTACATTGCAAAGAAAATGAGAAACCATCATGTTCTTATTGGTATTGAAAGCACTTCCTACTGGTGATGTTCTTTGTCTAATAGAGGTTTGACAACCATGAATGTAATAGTTATTTTTCACAATTATTTTTGGCTTTGTAGATTCATGTTGGTCATTTTATTAATCTGATTTAGATAAACTATTACTATGGTTGTGTCTTCACCAAGGAAATCTGGGAGGCTGTTAGAAGGGTCTGCAGCAACATTTCGATTCCCTCGGGTGACATCCTTAACACTAGACGATGGAGCTGCGACTATCCGGATAACCTCACCGATTGGATTGTCTATGGGGGCGCTTCACATGATCTGTTGGCAGGTATGGCTCGAAAGGAATCAGCGTACATTCAGAGATCGGAGTAAAGGGCCATTCGCTGTTTTCCAGAAGTCCATCAGCTGGATTGTTGAGTGTGTTGTTGCGTTCGGTAAAGCAAGCAAGGAACAGGATTGTTATGTGTGCTCTGCTCTCGGGTTTGTTGCCATTTGCGGATGCTTGCAGGGTGTATGGTTGTTGTTGTTTGCTTCACATACTGATTGCGAGGGTTAGAAGGGTGATCTGGTGGCTGCTGTTAGCTTCCTTTGCCGCTGGTTTTTGGGTTTTTGGTCAGGGGCTGTTTGGTCAGCCTAGACGGGGGGTGGGTAGTGTATTTCGACTTTGGAGGCGAAGGGCTGGGCTTTCTGTGGATTTTCGTTTGTTCTACTTCCCTTCTCTCGGTTAGTTTTGGAGTGTTGGCTGTACTTCTCGTGCGGCTTGAACCTTTGCTGGATTGTTTTCCTTTTATTAATAATATTTCTCACACCATTATAAAAAAAACTATTACTATGGTTAATATAATCCCTCCCTTAATCTCTCTACCAACAAAAGATACCGGCTCCACCATAGCTTCTCCACCTATACACTCCCTTTTACATTATAAAAAAAATTCCCACTACATATATTTCCATGTGTTCATACTTGATACAGATAGGCATATCTATACATTGATGGAGAGAGAGAGAGAGAACAAGAACTTGAAAGAGAAGGAGGATGTGAAAGAGAGAAAGAAAGAATGATGAAAGGCTTGCAAAAAACGATTGTCCAAAGAATCTGACTAAAAGCAAAAGTAAGCTAGCAAGTGAAACAAAGAAAGAAAGAAAAACGCCCCCAATCAATATCACGACCCAAAGACATCCGGCTTTGAATCCTCTTCCCCATATAAATGCCACTCCCCCACATAAAAAAGAACCACCACTGAAACTAACCCAAGTTTCTTCTTCTCCTCCTCCTTTCCAAACCAAAAAACAGAAAAAGGACGAAGAACAACGAAGAAGGGTTGTTCTCAAGTGTATCTAACAATGGCGCCGGTGGGATTGCCTCCGGGGTTCAGATTCCACCCGACCGACGAGGAGCTTGTGAACTACTACCTCAAGCGCAAGATCCACGGCCAGGAGATCGAGCTGGACATCATCCCTGAGGTCGATCTCTACAAATGCGAGCCCTGGGAACTAGCAGGTATAGTGTGCGCTCTTCTTTTTCTTTCTTTTTTTTCTTTTTTCGTCGTCATCTATTAGATATACACGCAAATGCAGTATGGTGTTTTAACTCATAATAACGTTTTCGTGTTTTTTGCAGAGAAGTCGTTTCTGCCGAGTAAGGACCCGGAGTGGTACTTCTTCGGGCCGCGGGACCGGAAGTACCCGAACGGGTTCAGGACGAACCGGGCGACTCGGGCCGGGTACTGGAAGTCGACGGGTAAGGACAGGAGGGTGATGAGCCAGGGCCGGGCCATCGGGATGAAGAAGACTCTGGTTTACTACAGAGGGAGGGCTCCTCAGGGGATACGGACCGACTGGGTCATGCACGAGTACCGCCTCGACGACAAGGAGTGCGACGACTCCTCCGCTGGCCTCCAGGTACACGCGCGGGAGTAGATCTAGCTAGTAACTAATTCGTACCTGTCTGCTGCGTTTTCCTATTGATTTTCTATCGTGTTACGTGACATCTGTTACATTCATTTTTCCTGCATCCACGTCTCGTTTGCAATTCGTGATCATTTGCATTTGTTTGTTCACAATGTGGGTGTAGGTCATTTTGCTTGTGCAAGTAGAAAAAGGAGTTAAAATCGGATTTTTTAAGATCTTATCGCATTAAATTTGAGTTATTGATATCAACGACTTTTTTTCTTACTTTTTTTATTTGGGATTGTTGTATTTATTATCTGAACTGAAACTTTTCATCGATGTTTTTTATGTGGAAAATGATGTCCGTTGATTTAAGTGTAAGATATTGCGATCTTGAATAAGTCTGACATATGAGGATTCTTTTATTGTTATTTCGGAATAGATAGTATAAACTCCAAATTTCGTCAACTTCACACTCGCTCGAGTAATTAAATGGTGTTCGTGAGAAAAAAAAAAACTAGTTACTTTCTTGATATCATTGGATAATCAAGAATATAAACTCCAAATTTCGTCAACTTCACACACACTCGAGTAGTTAAATGGTATTCATGAGAAAACAAACTATTTCTTGACATCCGTGGATAAACAAGAATGAACAACTAAAAAATGTTTGTGTATACATAACTTTATTTTGAACCTCAGTTACAATGTAGCATATTTAAACTCTAATCGAAGGGTTTCGTACTCACCCCCATTATCGAAACTACAATATAATTATTTTGAATGTGTTAGATTCAAGTCTCGGTATACTCGAGTTGGGACATTTTATTGGAAAGACAAAATGTAGTGATTTCCCTCTATGGTGAACTGTAGAACCTCATTACAAAGTCGTTTTTGGTTTCAAAATTACCTTATGATCGATGAGATCTTATCCAATTACTTTTAACTGCAAAAGCAGGAGATTTACCCAAAGATATCGCGTGCTGTAATGTGATGGGTGGTTTAAATCTCCTCTTTAATTTCTGCCTTTTACTTGTGTCTCTTTTGATTAGTTTTTCTAAATAATTTTTCTTCTTGTTGCTGGTTTTGAATCACACACTAAACGTACACAGATCGATCTCTTTTGCTCTCTTTCCCCCTCCACTCCATTACTTTCATTTGGGCTTTCCTTTAATCCCCCTTTACTCGTCTTTCCGCATCAGCCCAGCATATTATGTTTCATCGCAAAGCACGTTATTACTCCGATTCAGTAAATATCACATGTAAAAGTAAAAGTGATAGGTTAACTTGATCCATATATCTTTCGTGGCACTACCACGTCATGCATTCAGTTTATCACGTCAAGTAGTTTTATTATGAGTTTCCGAATTTTTTACTAGTAAAAAAACCAACTTTATGGAAAATCCAAAAAATTAAAAACACTAATAAAAAGAAGGGAAAAAAAAACAAAAGATCAAAAGCATAACGAGCTTACCATGCCATCATTGTAATCTTTTTGGCAATTTTCACCCTTCC